CTTTCCCTCTTCTTTCTCTCGATGTCTGCCCGTATATCTCCCTCTCTCTTTTCCTCAAATCGTTAGCGTCGCGACGGGCGAGTTTCCGCCCGGAGGAACCGTCTCTCTCTCTCTCGCGCGCGCGCGCGAGAGAAAACAGTGTCGCCGAGGATTTCTCGGATGAAAATCGGACGACAAGAAGGTGACGTTTCTCTCCTTTACGACGCGTCGCGAGTAGTGTAATTCCAAGTGCAGCGTGCCTTTGTGCGTGTCCGCGACTAGATCAGCTCACGAGAATATTCTCCGCGCTGGACAGCGTGGAGGAATATTTATATCTCCTCGCGTACGGGGATATCGCGAATTCTCTCGAGTTTCCCGAGGCCGGAGAAAACGCACGCGGTTACTTATTGTTAGCGTCGCGAATCGCGATCTATCTCCGTTCGATAATAATCCAAGTTAATTAATGTTTTATATGTGCATGGGAGATAAATAAAAAAATTCGAGACGAGATAGACAAATTTAAATATACATGTTTTTATTTATTATTGGAGAAGATATCATCGTAAGATGAAATAAATTATGTCGAGAGAAAGTAAACTAAACGAACCGTTATTATATATGGGAGAGAGTTATGTTATGATTAATTAATATAATGAATATATCATATAACCAAAAAATATATTATTTTAGAATTAATTCAATAATTACGATGTATAAAAAAAAAAAATTGAATTTAAAAAATATTTTTAATTTGTAAAATAAAAAAAATTGTCGGAGAGCGATACGTTATCGGTATTAACCGCGTAAATTACGTCACGTCAAGCGTCTCGTGAAGAGATCGGTCTTCGAAAATATTGGGTTACAAAACACCGCGTGATGGCCAGCGACAGGAAGATAATATTTACTCCCTCATCACTTTCGATTATCGACTAAAATACTCGCCCTCGAATATTTCGCGGAATATTCCCATAGGCATGCATACGGGGATGCACTCTCAGGTGCCGGCGGGAAGAAAGCGGATATTCCCGGTGGATCGTGAAATGGTGAATCGGCTGTTCGACAGCTGTGTGTGATTGAAATTCTTCGCGTGAGAAGGGCAGATCTCGCGAATGCGAGAATCATGTTGCGTCCTGACGCCGCAAGACAGTTTTTCCTGGGGCGGGTTACTGCTATGCTGCGCCGATAGTGAATTATTCCTTTCCTGGGCGGATCATTGTTCCGGATATATACCGTTGGAATGCAGAGTAAGATGCAAACTTTCAGCGGCCTCGCCTTCGGGAACGTGTTTAAGAAAAAGGCAGGTTTTCCTTGGAATCTATTCCGAACGATGCGCTCGCTTGTTGAATATTCGACAAATTTCGTCGACGTCTGTGACGTGACAAATTTATCGTTTAATAAATATTTAAAACTTCTTTTTATTTTTTTATATATTTTTTTTTATTAAAGATATTTTTTTATTAAAGAAATAAATTATTAGCTTTATCATAATCGCCTGTTATCTTTTGCATTTATTACATAGTCACTTGCATCAATTAATAAACATTATTTAATTCTCACTATGATTCTCAAACTCGAAATTTGTCAAGTAGATGCAATGTGTAAAACAATCACATTTTTTTATTTATTTACACTAAAATTTATAATTAATAATTACGTATACTTTCTGGAATATTATTATTAGGCATTATTAAGTAAAATCAAAGCGTTATCATTTTTTTTTTTTTTTTTTTTTCGACAAGATAATTTTTTTTAACGTAACCGTGATTGTTCATATCTTTATAATAGCCGGTGCAAAGACTGCGGCGGCTTTTCCTAATCTTAGATAAGAAGAAGCCTACTTCTCTCTTCTTCTCCTTAATCCCTCCCTCCCTTTCTCTCGCCCCCAGACATTCCGTTCCATCGACTTATTTTTATACATACGTCGGCCTTTTCGCGCGTAAACTACTTGCAAGACAACTGTCATCGTTGTAAATAGATCGAGCGTAATCGCTAACGCAGTTTCAATGATTGTATCCGGAATTTTCTCTTTTTTCAAAACTGTTGTCCTATAAATATTCTAAATTGAATGGAAACTCTCGAGAATTGACTGGATACAGTCTAATAATTAATAATACAAAAATCGCGTCTTAATTTTTTCAGAAATAAAACTTTTACATTGAATTTCACATCGATATATTCTGTATCTCGCGAGAGACTCGATTTAGTATTTAAAAAAAAAAAAAAAAAAAAAAAAGAACGGATATCTAGAAGATATTTTATTCGTTCATATTCGATCTAGCATGCGATGAGATTGAAAAGTAAGATCTTTTCCGATATTTATATATCAGCGTATACTTATCAAACGTGACTGATATGATAATTAAAGATATATAACAATCTTTCAGTGTGACATTAGTTTTGCTTGTGCGGGATCAATATATATAGATAAGTGCGTATAATCGATATGGAGAATGCGCATTACTTTTATAGCGACGTTGGAAAAAGCATTACGTAAATAACATTAATGTAAAAATACGAAATATCTCGTATCATAATATGATTCAAGTATCATAGATTATTGCGTTCCAATCGATGAGTCTATCAGAGCAAAGGTCAATGACTTTTAATTTGTTTACCCTCGTCTATATAGATTGACATATAAATTAAAAAAATTAATTTGGACTTTGGATCTGTAATATATATATAATTCAATTTATAATTATATTCTTATCATCTTTTTTTATCTTTAAGCATTTTTATTATTTTATTTATTTATGTATTTATTATAAATTTTTATCGCTTTATTATTATATGTATATTATTTGAAAATATGAATAATATTGCAAGAGAAATGAATATATTATATTTTCAATAATAAATAGAAATCAGCTTTGTATTTTAATTTTAATACAATTATAGCTTTATGAGACTATTATGCTTGTGATATGTTATGACGTATATTATGTATTTTAATCGCATTTAATTAAAGAAAAATGATATATCTAAAAGAAGTGAGACTGCTGATTCAGCTCAACGAAACAAGAAATAGAAATCGACATATTGATATGAATCAACCTCTATGTCAAACGGCGCCTCGCATATAATCATTCTATTTTATCAGAACTGGCATCGCATTCATTCGAAATAATTAATGACTTCTGATGAAAGAAATGCATTTTGCACGTCCCTAGGTCCCTCGAGCGAGGAAGTTAGAATAGAATCTGCAATAACTTAATCTTTGACCGTGAATTTTAATACCCATCGACCTTTTCTCATGTAAAAGCACTCATTTTATAAGCCATTATTTGTTCGTATATAAAATCAATCAATCGATGAGATTTAATTTGCTTCAAAGTATAATACACTGCAAAGATAGGATGACAGTTTATTAACACGTTGTATTGTCGAACGTAAATACGGTAAATAAATTGTGCCTTATTACTCTGTTAACTCAAATGAATACATGTGCCGTTTATTATTACTGGAAGATAAACTGAAAATTATCCTCTCTTAATAAACTATAGAATTTTTTAATAGAGGAATATATATATTTATTTCCAATAAATTATAATTACAGTTTTTAATTATAATTTAATTACTTATATCATTTTTGAAAACAATGGACAAATAGTTTCTTTTAATGCTTCTTGGATAATAAGCTTTTCAACGTTTCGAAAGATAAGGCATTGTCCGATAAAAGTTTATTACATCACTTTGTCACGAAATAACTTCTGCATATTGCTCACTTTTACGAGTTTTTTAAGTTCTCTCTCTCTCTCTCTCTCTCTCTCTCTCTCTCTCTCTCTCTCTCACAATTATTACAGCAGTAGATACTAGATTTCACTGGGAGACGATGTGTTACACGCCTTCTTTGTTCATCAAGCGTACGTGTTTGCACATAAATGTTCTTCTGGAGATATAACAGCAAACAAATTCACTCCAATGAGTGACGGTGTAAACTCCGTAATAGTTCATTAGACCGTGATTTGTATCTATTTTTATTCGCTACCTACGGACGCACGTTGCGCTTTACTAACACCTCTTTATTATGCACTTAACTTGCCCATGTTACCTGCCATAATACTGCGCAGATGCCTTATTGATTACGCAATGTTTTATCATGTATTCACACAACGTCGAATATTTCGAGACGAGCGAGCTTCAACGTAATTCTTCGAGAAAAAGAAACATTCACTTGAAATTAATAATAAATTAATTTTCTAATCCATTTTCGTAATTCCAATTAATTTATATAATCCCATAATTATAAAAATTATATAACGTGGCGTAAAAATTACATATTTGTTAAAATTTGCGTTACGAAACAGCCGACTGATCCTTGGTCTTGTTACAACCGGCGTAGAATACCGTAGAAAAGAATCGGTGATTGTTAATTAGATATTCAATATTGCGCGCGAGAACTTGGAAAGCGGAACGATCGGGAAAGTTAGCGAAGAAAGCTCGTGTAACTAGTAAACTACCTCGGTCGGTTTGTAATAAAGCCGCCATGCGAGAAGAAGGGTATCTGATTGGATTCATTACGGGATGCCAACGGGGTTCATTTGTTCGGTCGACCTAGCCGCAATCCAGGATGAAACAAGGCGTTTGTGTGTTTGCGACTTTCCTCGCTCATTCGAATAACCCACTTTGTAACTGCGATCAAAGACGATTAAAAGGAACGATGTTTGTTCACGTGTTCTTTTTTCTCTCTCGCAAAGTTCACGGCCGCATCTGTTAACGAGTAAAATGATTGGTGATCGTAAACATGTAATATAGGCTCTATATATGCAGTAAGATTATTTGGAGCTTTCTTTCTTCAATAAAAATTTAATTAAACGATATTCTCTCACTTCACTTTTTCCAGTACACGATATTGAATATTTTAGCAAAACGAAGCATTAAATAAAAATGTTTAAAAAATCCATTAAAAACTGTTAAAGAGATCATGATATTATATTGTGTGTAATATTTCGATTCGAGAAATTTGATTCGCGAAAAGCTCTTCAATTAATTATAATTGATAAATTGTTTATGCTTCAATATTTTTGTCTTTTTTATTATTAAAAAAAATTAATTCTATATTAGCTGAACAGTTCTGAACACGAGCGTGAATTTATAGACACCCAGTAGTTCCAGTTCTAGTTATAATATAAAGAGATCACGTACACGTGCAGTTTTTTTTACGCATCGTACCGTACAGAATCGTTAGTATATGGAGGTCGACGTCGCTTCCTCGCGTTCCATTTATGTAACGTTAATCGGATCGGTGAGCTATCGCTCGCGATCGATCGTTCACCTGCGGCTCGCATTAATAGGACGACTCGAATTAATAGGAAGACGAGTTACCGCGGATTAAATCCGCTAATCATCGACGTTTGTTCAGATTTAACTTACACATTTAACACCTACTTTATTCAGCTTAAAATAGATTACTTGCGTTAATTAAATATCTACTTATAATATTTATGAAGAATATTACATGCGAATGTACAATGAAAATTTCAAATCGAAAATACAAATAACTCAAAAATGTTAGTTCTTTTTTATTTAAAATTAATTATTGTAACATATCTGTGTATCTTAATTATTTATCAATTTTATATCTATTTTTAATATTCTTTTTTTTTATCTTTCACAGGCAAACAAGATGACCGGGGGACCTGCGGTGGGCAATGCACCGCCTCCACCTACGCTCATCAACAAAATCAAGTACCAACCCGGTGGACCTGTAATTAAAAAGGATAAACGGCAAAGCAGCTCGAGGTTCAATATATCGAAAAATCGGGAATTGCAAAAATTGCCGCTATTGTCCGGTAAGTCATTCATTATGAAATATTTCACGAAACATATGCATTAACCCTAAACTTGGCAGTGTATCCTATATGAGATATGCATTTCTCTGTTTTTCAATGTTTATATTTGCAATTTCTTGTTTACATCTAAAGCATGTTTTTAAATTAAGATTAATATAAATCATGTATTTTCTACACGTGTGGATCATGATATATAAAGCTTGTATAATAATTTTTAAATTTTAAATTTATTTTAGCATAATAATTTTTGGTTTTAAATAATGTATTCTTAATTATTTTATTGTAATTTTATTTC